CCCCAGTCTGGCCTTAAGTTGGCCAAAGTTGGCCCTCTTGAAGTCCCAGCTTCTAGTGCTCGACCTGCTGCACGTCCCCAGTCCCCTGATCTCAAAGCAAAGGATGGAGTGATCACTCGCATTCAGAGCTCCCCTAATCTGTACTTCATCTATCAGCTCCTCTCTATTGGTCAAGACCAAATCAAGGATGTTCCCCCCCACTCGTCGCCTCTCAGACCCTCTGTGTGAAAAACCTTCCCTCTATAGCTTCTAGGAAGCGACGTGACCTGGCTGTCACCACCGAATGAGTCTCCCAAGTAATATCTGGGAGACTGAAATCTCCCATAATTACTGTGTCTCTCCCCCGAGATATCCTTAGAATCTGGTCTGTCAGGACATCATCCAGGGCCTCAAGTTGACCTGGAGGGCGATAACATACCCCCACTGTTAGGTCTCTTTCCCTGTCAAAACCCCTAAGTTTCACCCAGACTGCCTCTACCGAATCCACATCTGTGCTGCATTCTATCTCACTGCATCCTATCCCTTCCCTGACGTATAAAGCCACGCCCCCACCACTCTTTCCCTTCCTGTCCTTTCTAAAAAGGTGATATCCTTCTACGTTCACATTTCAGACTTGCCTTTCAAGTTGCCCCCACCAAGTTTCTGTGATTCCCACCAGGTCATACCCTCTTATTCCCAGGAGAGCTTCAAGCTCTTCCTGCTTATTACCCATGTTCCTAGCATTGGTGTACATGCACCTCAACTCCTTCCCACTGCTTCCTATCCTTGGAGTTCTCAGCCTCCTCCTTTCTCCCATCCTCCCTGATACCTGGCCCCTCTCTGTAGGAGTCCTGTCAGTCCCTGCAGTATCTCTAAAACCCTGCTCCCAGAGCCCTGATCCTCCCCCCATACTTGTCCAGTGCAGACACGTTACTGGGGGGTCTGAACCCCCCCCCCCCCCCGGATCAGTTTAAAGTCTTCCGGACGAAGATCGCTAGAGCATCTCCAAAGGACCTTTTCCCCATCCTCGTGAGGTGTAACCCATCCCTTGCCAGAAGTCCATTGGCAAGAAAACGAGTGCCGTGGTCGAGGAACCTGAAGCGTTCCTTCTGGCACCACACCCTAAGCCAGTCGTTCACCTCAGAGACCCTCCTGTCCCTTCCTGGCCCAAATCCCCGGTCAGGTAAGATTGACGAGAAGGCCACTTGGGCCTTCAGCTCCCTGAGTTTCTTCCTCAAGGCCTCAAAGTCCCTGGTGGTCCCGACCACACCCTGCCTGGCCACATCGTTTGTGCCCACATGCATCACCAGGAGCGGCTGGTGACCCCCGGAGCGAACAAGACGCTCCACTCTGTCCTTCACATGCCGGATGCGTGCGCCCGGCGGCAGCAAACCTCCTTGTCTCCAGGTTGGGGTGGCACACTGCCGCCTCAGTGCCCCTCAGCAGGGAGTCACCAACAACGATCACCCGCTGCCGTACCTTCCCAGTGCTGGTGGGCAGCCGTGCCCTGGCCCTTGCCTCTCCCGCAGCGGCCCCCTTGCCGCCTGACGTCCCAGGCTGGGGGTCCTGCTGGTCCCCTGAGGCCTCATCAGCCCCAGCCTCCCCAAGTGGAGAGAACCTGTTTCCCAGCTCCAGATTGGTGCCAGGAGAAGGAGGAGGCCGTGCTGGTCTCCCCCTCCTGTGGGTGACATACCTCCATGTCTCCACAGCTGCTCCTCCTGTGGTCTCTCCCTCAACCCTCTGTCTGGGGGGGGGGCTGCTCGGGGGGGGGGCCTGGAGAGCTCTCTCGGCCCTCAGGCACCTCTCCTCTTCTAGCAGGGTCACCATCTTGCACCGAGGGCAAGTGTATCCCTGCCTCTCCTGGGGGAGAAGGGCGAACATGTCGCAGCTGTCGCAGCGGACAGCAACACCCATGACTCCCGCCAAGGCCATCTCCTGGTCTGCCATCGGTATCCCTTCCGAGACCTTACCTTGGTCCCCTGCCTTGTTAGTCCTGCAGTTCCTCTCACTCGCCCAGTTCTCCCAGACAAAAACCCACTTGCACACACACACAAGGATAAAATAAACT